GGAAATTAGTACATTTCTGAAAATGCCAATAATCAAGGCTGAGGTAGAATACACCTTAGGAAATGTTTAAAACTACTTATATCTTCTGATAAAAATCTGGCTGACTATAAGAGTAATGCTTTTTTCCTAACTGGTTTTCTTCCCTATGAACTGTGTTTATATGTGTAATACTATGTATTCACATTATTGTTGGAAAAAACAAAGAGTTTATAGTTTATATCAAAATTATTTTTATTTATCTATCTGGCTGGCTGCCTCCCTGCCTGTCTATTTTCCTCTGTCTTCCAATCAATCACTTACCTATTCACATTATTTTGAGAGAAACCAAAGAGTAATAATGGTTGTGACTTTACTAAGTATTGTGCATAATGCTCAAGTCTATTTAAAATGATCCTAACAGGTTTTATAATTGTCCTATTTTACAACTAAACATGTATTAAAGCACATGGTGGGCAATTATTGTGCACAGCAAGATAGAAGCAGCCTTGGTTTTAATCTGACACCTGAACCCATTTTTTAAAAATATTTTATTGATTTTTTTACAGAGAGGGATAGAGAGTTAGAAACATCGATGAGAGAGAAATATCCATCAGCTGCCTCCTGCCCACCCCTCACTGGGTTGCACCCGCAACCAAGGTACATGCCCCTGACCGGAATCGAACCTGGGACCCTTGAGTCTGCAGGCCGACACTCTATCCACTGAGCCAAACTGGTCGGGGCAAGTGTCTCCACTTTAGCCGGCCTCCTGGCAGCCCAGCCATTCTGTCCCTCGGCTCCGTCTCAGCTCCTGCCGCCTGGCGATGGCCTCCCCTCACCCTCCCCTCCAGGGCCACACTCACGTCCACGATGAGGAAGTCGATCGCGTGTCACCTCTGACACACGTGTCATAGGTTCGCCATCACTGGTCTAAGCCACAGAAGGCTTCCTGGGGAGAAAGTGTGGTCAGTTGGAGGGAACCTTGGGTGAGGAATCCGGCCATGTTCCCTTTGGGATCTTGGGAAACCTGGCTTCCTTTTCTCACCTGTAAACAGGGCTTACCCGGCTCCCAGAAGCGCTGTGATCTAAAATACCGGGGGTTCTCTCTGTACACCCGGTACCTCCTCATGGGCCCAACGCCTCCTGGACTCTCCACCTGCTGCTCGTTACGCAAAATGTAACAATACTTTGAGGTGCTGCACGCATGCCAGCTTTGCCCTGGGACAGTTCCTGTTCTCCCAGGTTTTTGGAAGGAAGCCATGTCTGCCTCCCTGGGCCCATTCACATGTTCTCTCTGTTCTTTCCTGGTAACATCCGTGTGACTGACCACTGTCTCCATTCTGTTACCACTCTCAGGAGCATGTAAGGTGTTCCTGTGGACTGGCCCTGCTGCAGCTCAATCTGCCTGGGAGCCAGAGGAAGAAACTGGCAAGTTTTAC